TATTTTTCGGGTCAATCAGAAATACAATTTGGCTGCCATGGCCGCTATTTTGCTACTAAATTCTAATAGGCCGATCTCACTTAAAATTGGTCTAGGAATGATCAGCTCATGGTCCTGACAAAGTTAAGTTAACATTATACTATTTTTTACTCAAATTGGTACATATTTCAACAAAAAAAATAATACTGTAGACTCAGGTGACCGTTAAGGCCCATGGGCCTCTTGTTATAAAGGAATGATAAAACTTGCCTGTTACACAACAATCCCTGTGTATATTACTGTGAAGTCAGATATTTTTGTGGGGTCCAAATTTTCGTGGTTTCCAGACAAAACACCATTCCTTGGGTACATGAATTTGTGGATTACGAGACCCACTCGGCAGAGAATTGGTAAATGTCAGACTTAATTGTAATTACTTTGTGGCCCATGAAATCAATAAAATAAAAAAATAAAAACCACGAAAATTAGTGATTTCACAGTATATAATGAAATTTGTTGGAATCTAAATAAACACAAACTCAAGACACTAAATTATCGCTGTATTTCCTTTGTCATTAAATAGCTTCATGGATATCAGGTATACATATTACAGTTTATCGTATTGTTTCCTGTGCTGTCATCTAAAGATAGTAATTACCTCTGTCACAATGTTAGTCCTAGGAACAGTTTCTCTCCAGGATTTAAGGAAATGGTATCTTACCATTTGTTGGGGAGGATATAGCGATTATCCTGGGAAATTTTGAAAAAGCCCTTAAGGGCCAGAGTCATAAATTGTTACATTTTTTTTCAAGTATTAAGAAATGCATTAAAATTTATCTTTTACATTTTTTGAAACAGTCGTTGATTGCAACATTAAAACATTGTTTCATTGGTTTTAAAATATTAAGAAAAATGGGAGAGGGAGACAATGTTTCAAAATAGAAAAGTACATTTTTTTATCTGTTAAGATCAGTGAAAAATTATCTGAATAATAGCTCATCTATTTACTGAATTTGTAAAGATCATATTGAAACTCGTTACAAGTTCTTTAAGCAGTACGTCAATGTGGCTTTAATTGAAACTGTTCCTAATATAAACATGATTGTGATTTCTGAATGTGTGTATGTGGCATGGTATCTGGATGTTTCACAATAGTTGTTGTAATATAAAATCATTCCTCTTTTTCACTTCAAATTAATTATGTCATGTCTATTTTTATAATGTATGTCACTCATGTTACTTGAAACTTATTTCTTTTAATATTAATTTTTTACCATTGCTTTAATCTTGGTACTTGGATAATTTTATTGATTTGCTTATAATGTGTATTTCTGTGTTAGATATTAATTTGTAAGTGAACTGTTTCCTTTGGAGAATCTATAACTCACCTATCTTTCTGCAGATATAATTGACACAGCTTGCCATTGAACAAGGACTAAATACTAAACAAGGGAGATAATACTTTTTCAAAGTTTAGATTTAACCATATAATGTGTATTTGCTATTTTAATAAATCACTTACAATTTGAATTTATTATATAATATAACAGTCCATAATTATATCTTCAGTTTCAGAATACTGTAGCTTTGATGTGTAGATATTTCATATTTCTTTAAAAAATGTGATTTTAATTTGATTCTTAACCAAAGAATTCTTTAACCCTTGGTTTTAGAAAATATTTCAAATTCAAAATTTCCAATACTTTTTTATGTGAGCAAAAAACAATATACCTTATATTTATATGAATGAAAGTACAACAGTATAGCTGATGTTGTTGTTTTTAGAAACCATCCCCGGACTACTTGTCAACCTAGATCCATGTACTCTTATTTATCTATCATCCCAACATTCCTTTTTTTAACGTTCTTTCTTTTCGTATCTTTTTAGATTTTTTTAGAGGTGTTTAATTTAAATAGTTACATAAACAAGGGAAAAAACAAATTTTGATTCCATGTTGGTTTATTAAATTCACCGATACATATATATCATATTTTTAGCAATTGCTGTATAGTTAGTATAATCACACTCTTGCATGTTGAATACTTTTCAAAGTCGCACAGCTGATTCTCACATTGTTGTGATTCTAGTTTTAGTGGTTTTTAAGCTAGTGACTGGACACTCGGCATATAAAATGTCAAATAGTCAAATGAATACGCTTTATCAAAGCATATTTAGCAACAAGAAGTAAGCATAATTTGTTAAACAAACCATCAACAGAACAATAAAATGTGTGATATAACCCATGTTTAAACATCTCGTATTCCTCTTGATGTCAATGAATCGATACAACCACATGCATGTTAATTATTTCATGGCGACGTTATGGTTAGGAAGTTTATTGTCACGGCTCAATTTTACGCTTGTCACATAATTCTGCGGTTCATATTTTTGCGATCACACTATTGGGCCGCAAAAACGCGAAAAATATCATCCCCACAGAAATAACCACCTGCTATACAGTATGTTTACCATTGTGTCATCTTGATGTAATCTAGATGCCTGGGACATCATCTTATAATGTCACAATACTTAATCATTGCATGAGTGCATATACAAAATATAGGACCTAACTGTATTCATGGCAAATTACACAGCAATCATGTATTAAAACAAAAATGTTGATACATGTACTTTATTTAACTTTTACTCTGCACTTGACATTAACCGTCCATGATATTTCAATCTCTAAAAAAAATTACTTATAGTCTATCGCTTGTTCTGATCAATCTTAATTATGGTTTAGATACTTTCTCAAAATGGAGGGTAAGCAAACAAAAAATGAAAGTGAACAGATTCTAAATATAGATACGAGTCAGATATTTGCAGTAAAAACAAATTACACATAATTCAGAATACATAATCGATATGAGACTGTTAACCTTTGTGTTTTTACTTACAGGATGTATGGAAGGTAAGTTCGGACCTAGTTGTGAGCGTGACTGTCAGTGCGAGAACGGAGCCACATGTCACGTGATCACAGGGGCTTGTCTGTGTCGGGATGGATACTTCGGTCCGACATGTGCCCAGAAATGTCCGGAAGGTCGCTACGGAACAAACTGCTCTGAGATCTGTCATTGCCTTAACGGTGGAAAATGTGGGCGTATCCACGGGAGATGTAAATGTCACCCTGGTTATACAGGCTTCCTGTGTGAGGACGGTGAGTTGCAGGATGGGTTGAGATATGTACAGTACAGGTTTGTCTGACCTTATCTGCTGGTTAGCTTATCATGTATTACAAGACATACAACAAGAAGAAAAATCTTCTTCTTTATTCCGACGCCAAAGAGCTTGAAGAACAAGGGATGGGCTTATTACTGGGCACCCACACTGTTGACAGGAAGTAAGGAAAATTGGGGTGGGCTTATTACCAAGCATGGGCTTATCACTGGTAAAGTGTGGTGCTGTTATGAGCATATGAATCAATGCAGAAGCAGTTTTTTATAAGATTTAATTTTGAAAGTTAAATATAGTAGGTTTTCCTGGACCACAAAGTCAGACTCGATTTTGTGACTCAAACTGTGATAAAGTTCCACAAATTATATGCTTTCTGCGAAAATTCAGTCAACAACTCTTTCGTTTTACCTTTCTTAACTAAATTAGCTAAATTGTGATATATGCTATTGTAATTCTTGAAGTCTCAAAATAATGAAATCATGTTTAAGATCTCAACCAGTCAGAAACATGTACACCGGTAGCAGAAAAGTCCCCAACTATTATGTTCGTATATAAATGTTATTGTGATGATATATAATTCATATTAAACGTTTAAGATATATGTTGCCATTTAAAATAACCATGTATCAATTTATTTTTTCAGAATGCAGAGAAGGTTTCTTTGGTTACAACTGTGCACAGAAGTGTAACTGTAGCGACCATGGGTCATGTGACCACATCACAGGGACCTGTCACTGCCACCTCGGCTACACAGGGCCTAGCTGCAACAATGCATGTCCCGTGGGCAGATTTGGCCCTGATTGTAGACATTCCTGTAATTGTCAAAACCGAGCTCCTTGTGATCCGGTGACGGGGTGCTGTTCCTGTACCGAGGGCTTCTACGGCCCAAGTTGTGAATTAGGTACTATAGTGTTTTCTATGTACTCGATACATGTTGCAGATGAACCCATGTTAGACAAAAAAAAAATATGTAGGTTTCAAGTAACATGACTGAAAAAAATAGGGAAGGTTGGTCGGGATTTGTTTTTATTTCATATTTTTTTTATTTATATCATTTTTTTGGGGCAAGCTAATTCAAGAAATTTCAGAAGTCACCAAATGTTAAGTTATTCAGACCAATTGTATTCACTTTTCATTATATATATATTATTTTTTTTAGATAATAATATGGGATTTAAATTTGGTTTTGATACCTGCCTTTGAAATAGAGAGATGTCATAAAGACGATTACGATTTTCAACGCATTAAAATTGGACGTTAAAGTGCATTCGAGTGAGATAAAATTGTTATGGTTGTAAGTAAAAACTAGCGTCGATGAGGGTACAGTACCTGAAAGATATATATTTTTTCGGAGGGACTTAGCACCATATATACATGTGGTGTAATGGAATTTTCAAGAACAATTTTTCTTTTGTGTGATGGATCCATACTAAAATTGGGGGAGGATGGGAAGTTTCCAAAAATGCCTGGTCCATTCTCAAATGAGAAAAGGTGTATAATTAAACTTGTCAAGTTTTAAGCCTTCAATATCCACCCACCAACCCATATATTGGTATATAATGGTAGACAATATAACTCTGAATTAAAAAAATGTTTGAAAAATAATCAACTCAGGCTGCAAGCGGCCTTTATTAATAATTTTTCCAACATTTTCTCACCCTCGTTATATATTCAATCCTAATAGATGTACATACATTGACTTTTTGTTAAGTGAAGTAATTAGATGTTTTGTGAAAACAGATAAAGTATTTTAAACAGTATTTTGCTAGCACCATGCTGATGTTTAACACTGAGATATGTCAATCTATTTACCCAGCATGCCCAGAGGGAACACACGGCCCTTACTGTCGGGAGCGGTGCGACTGTGTGAACGGGGCCACATGTAACCCTCAAACAGGGCAGTGTAGGTGTCGCCTAGGCTTCTTTGGAGACAGGTGTGAAGCAGGTGAGATGATTATGTTGTAAGGAGATGATTCATGGTTAGGAATGCTACAATGGGTATTTACATTTAGCCATGAGGTCATACTTGCCAACTCTCCCAATTAAGGAGGCAGACTCCTGATTTTGGACCGTTAAAATTAAAATTTCCAACCAGTGAATTAGCTGTATTGTAAGATCTAATGTCTTCATCTGAAAAAATAACTCCAAATATACCACTGTACAAGTTTACTTTGTCTCTAGGGGGTACATGTACACACACTTTATGTTTTTAATTTTGAGCATATGGAATCACCCCCATGGAAATGTTCAACAGGTTGGCAAGTATGTAAGGTCATTCAATAAAGTGTTTTAATTTAAGTTTGCTAATTAGCAGGAGTTTGACTCAGCTAGTGTCAGAAGTTTGACTCAGTTACGTTCAGAAAATTGACTCAATTAACATGAGAAGCTTGACTCGATAAGTGTCAGAAGCTTTATTTAATTTACATCAGAAGTTTGATTCAATCAACATCCGAATCTTAACACAATTAGCATGAGAATCTTGACACCACTAGAATAAGAATTTTGATAAAATTGACACAAGAAATTAATCTTTATTCATATTCATTACTGTTGACTCAATTTGCATAAATTAATTACATTTGTAGCACCAGAAACTTCTCTCAGTTAAAATAAGAGTTTTGACTCAGTTTTCAGCAGAAGTTTGACTCATTAGCATCAGAAATGACTCAATTAGAATAAAAGTTTTGAATTAAAATGTAGCTTAACATTTTGAAACAATTAAGCATTAAAATTTGACTCGTTTAGTATTGGCGACCCACATGAACATCAGGCATTAAGATTACATGGTTAATAAAAGTGTTGCAGATTTTAAATTTTCATATGTTTACAGTCGCATTCTAGCTTCACGCTAAAGGGGAATTTCCTTTTAGCTCAGACTGTGGTAGAATGTCAAACTAGGAAGTCTTGGATGGTGGGTTCAATCCCCAGGCAGTGGAAGCACACTACTCTCTTTCCTGTTACAAAAGCATACCCTTGCATGTTATGGGGCATCTCATTTAGGCAGTGTCTCCTGTTTCAAATAACTTGTATTTTTGTTTTGTGACAGTTTGTCCCAAGGGAAGATACGGCCTCCATTGTCAGCAGATCTGTGACTGTGAACGGGGGTCATGTGACCACAAGACGGGGGCATGTTATTGTCCAGCAGGACTGTCCCTCCCTAACTGTGCTAATGGTAGGTACAGTCAGAACTGATTATGTAACCACTTGTGTAATTAAGGATCCCTGCACCACTGCCAAAAAAATGTATCTATGTATTCAAAAACTTACTATTTTTTCGGCATGACAATTAGCTTTAGTAAATCCTATTTGAACAAAATGTAATCATCAAATGTATTCTGATCGTAGGATTTGAACCCGAATTTTAGATAGTTATACTATCGTTAAAACTGATTGAGCTACCTGGACAACACAAGGCTACAAGCTCAAATGTGCTATAGCTATATCCAAACGAAAGTTAAGGGGAGGTTATTGTGTATAGGAAAAACGGCAGTACAGTGGGACAGGGATCTATAGGAGAACTCTTTTTTAAAGTTCCTTGTTGTTGATACTTAGGTCTGTTTGTCTACCCATCTGTCTGTGGTTTAATCTTATCTAGACAACTCCTCATAAACTAATGAGCCATGTCAATAAAATGTTTTTGGTATGGCCAGTACATGATTAAGTTGCCCAATTGATTTTGGTTTCAAATTTCTTTTCAAGAGTTATTGCCCTTTTGTAAAAAAAATCTTAATTATTTCATTTGATTTTTTACAACTTCAAACTTGAATATTGTTTTTGCAGTATGTAAGAAGGGGAAGTATGGTCCCAACTGTGAATATTTCTGTGACTGTGATAACGGAAGTACTTGTGACATAATGTCGGGGTCGTGTAAATGTGCCGTGGGATTTCTCGGCTCTCAATGTCAACACAGCCTCCGTAAGTATTACAGATAGTTCATTTTATTTTTTCCTGTTAACCTGTTGCTTGGTTTTTTGAGAGTGAACACAAAAAGTCAAACAGAATCTTTTCAAGCCTTACACTTATTGATTCATTTGTCAAATTGTTCCGGGAAAAGTTGAGGAAATATAATATAAATGTAATTGATCAATTTTCCTCTCTTTGCAACTGATAAAAAAAAACCTTTTTTCCACTGTACATTAATTTAAAAGATAATTCTTGCTTATTTTTGTCTGGACAAGTCTTTGAGTAAAATCAGTTGATTTGTAAGGAGCAGTTAGATTATTTGGGTCACAATTAAAACTATGCAACCACATCTAACTGGTAACAGCCCTTGTATACTAACTAATCATAAAGTTGAGGGCATAAAATTCATTAATTTTCACATGTAAATAGGTGTTATTTTATAAAGAGAATTGATTCATATTTGAAAAATATTGTAAGCATAATTTTAATATTTTTAATTAATTTTGAAAAACAATCACCATTTCTTGAAATTATAATTTTACTAACAGAATTTGTTTTCTTTTAATTTATATGTTCATCAAGTTGAAAAAAAATGCCCTTAAAATTTTATAGAATTTCCGCATAGTTAAGGATAGTGAAACAGATTCAAGATTTTTCTATAATAATATAAATCCCTGGTAACTGCTCTATTTCAAATCTCAAAATTTATGTCAGAAATACAAATAGACAAATTATTTTTTAACAAGTTAATTTACCTTTTTTTGGTGATTTGTTGTTGCATTTTGTGGAAATATACAATTTTCATGCAGTATAGGATTTTTAATTACAATATTGTAAGGACTCTAGTTTGTCCTTGATATAAAATCTTGGTGCCATGTTAAATTCAACGATTCACCTTACCAAGTAAATTATTAAAGTAAAAAAATTGCCCATGAAAATACAGTTATATGATTTGCTATTATGGATATTTTCTTTTTCTACTGTAAATATTTATATATCTCTTCACAATTTTGTTCAAAAGTATAATAACAGGTGAAATGTAAGTACTGATAGTTATGTACATATAGGCATGTTTGAAACCAATCTCGATGGCTTACCCTTTTTGTTGAAGATTGATTACAGCTTACTGTTTTAGTTAAAGAATGGTTTGAATGCTAAGTACTTGCACTGTGATACATACCTACAAGCTTTGCTAGTTGTTTGATTTGTCATTGCATGGAAGTTATAGAGTTTAAACTTAAATCAATTGGTATTTTTTATTTTTTTTATGATGTGTCTCTTTCTATCCAGTGAATAGCTACTTGATATACTAATTGTCAGGCATTTAGCTAAGGAATTAGCCAGAATGGAAAATATTAATGGTTATACGTTTTGAAAAAGACTTTAATAAGACTATTTTAATTGAATTTTAAAATTTTACAACATTTTTCACGAATTATTCAGTGTTTATTTGCCTTCTGTACAACTACCATTCAAAGTGCAAAATGATTTTTGCAGTTTTTAAGACAACAGAATAAGGAAATACTAAATTAATGTCGAGCATAATTAACTGTGACCATGTATATGGAAACATCTTATCGTGATTGCCAAGATGGAAGTTAAATCGAAATTAGAAAACAAATCCATAAAATATTCCTATTATATATTATTAGAAACACTGTTAAGGATAAATGGAGGGGATAATGAAAACAGGGAAATTTTCGTCGCAAGTTAACTTTTGCCTTTTTTGCCCTCTCCAAGGAGGGCGAATTAATCATGAGAGCGAATATAAGTACACAACATACAATATATATAGTAATTACATGTGAAGGGCGAAATTAACACTAGTCAAACATATACTTTATTGGCATAGGGCAGATATTGACTTCTCGAAAGTTTCCCGATATGATTACAGAATATGAAATATTTTGCTGAGTATTATTTATCCGATTTATTTGTAATAGAAAAAATATTAAAATCACAAAAACATTACAAGTTAACAAGAATATCTCTGATATGATGTGATGCTGTTGTATTTCAGACGGGTTGGAATGATGCATGTCATCACTAGTTACAATGAGGTTACTATTTGCACATTTTCATTATTTTTTTAATTTTTGCATTTAATCAATGCTTCATATTTACATTAATTGGACCTTTCATATGTTAACCACAGATTTAATAACATTTAATAGTTTGTCTATAAATAGCTATTTCCTAAAGCCTCTATTTGGAGTGGAAATTTATCATGCTAACAGCATTGTGACAGACAACTCTTTTGGTTGTCTCTTTAAATGAAGTATATTAGAAATGTATCGTTGCATGGTGTTTTTTCACCGTTGATAGGCAAAATACGTTTTTGCTTAAAATGTATTTATAGATATATGCTAATCCACTGTAATTTCTAAAAGACATGCTTTCACCATAACAGACATGTTGACTATATTCTTAAAATCTTATTTCCAACTTGGTTATAACTAATTGAAGAAACAACAGAATAAGTCATAAAATTCCATAACTTCATTACGTTTGATCAGGCCAAAATGAAAATGTATGTTTTAGGTACCCCGATCTACCCTAGTTTTTACCTCCGACCCTAACAATTTTATCTTGCTCAAATGCAATCCATCCAGTGTTGGGATAACTGATCAATCGGATGCAAACAAATTGATGGATGAACAAACGAGGCAACTATATTTATACCCTCTCTACTGCATAGGCATGTATCAAAACAAAATTTAAATCCCAAATTATTATTTAAAAGACCTGTGATGGGTGTTTTTTGTGTTTTCTTAAATTAGCTCCCCTCCAAAAAAATATTTAAAAAAAAATCCTGACCGACCTACCCTGTTTTTTTCAGTGATTTTAACTGAAGCATAAAATTTAGTTTTGGCCTAATACAATTATCTACTCTCACATTCTGTTCTTTTACACAGTCAAACCTGCTAAGGCAGCCACCTCCTTCGTAGGACCACCTGTGTTAAAAGATCTGTTTATGGATTTTTATAGGTGGTCTTTGAATACAAATTTGCCTTAGGTTTTACAACATAAATATAAAAAAAATGGAAATGGTTTGTGAAGAGATTTTGTATTTAACATCTTGACACTATTACAATTTTTTGTAATACTTATATATTTGCTTATCTAAAGAAAATAGACTTAATTTTACATAATATTATGTTATAACCAACGCTAACCTGTCTTTTCCTTGAATTTGTATACCAAGATTGTTAATATCCTCTAAAATGATTTATTAAACAAACAAAACCCCCACAAAACCCCAACTGTCAACAAAACCATATGTCAGACTCACAATTGAGAAAACTTGGTCAAAACATGGAACAAAGAAAAGGTTTCCATCAGCAAGCAGCAATCACAACCACTAGAAAACTACTTTTTTTTTAATTTTTAATCTAATCAAATCAAGAGGGTTTTTCTTAATAGATGAACATTACAAAGCCCAACAGCATTTAATTGATAAGTTAGTCGGGTGGCGCAATGGATAACGCACTGGCCTTTCATGATCACCAATGCAGCCAAGGTTTGATCCCCTGATTGGACGTGAAAAGATATTGGGTCACCTGCCCGACCACGTGGGTTATCACCGGGTACTCCATTGTCCTCCCACATTAAGACCCCACCACACTTACATCTAGGCCAGCAAGAGTGATTAATATAATTTGAAATAAATTGTTTCATAACTGTTGTTAAACAAAAAAAGTCTAAATAATGTTAATTGATATATATAAGCCCTCTATATTATGTTAATTGATATATATAAGCCCTCTATAATATGTTAATTGATATATATAAGCCATCTATATGATGTTAATTGATATATATAAGCCCTCACCGTTATCCATTAATTTCATTTTGTATATCTTAATTTATCAATTGAAACATGACCAAAAATTCAATCAAATGGCAATTATCTTATCATATGTTCCCTTCAAGTACAAACAGAATGTTTTGATATTCCTGGTTTTTATGCATCTATTATTATAACAGACTTGCTTGATATGCTTTTCCTTGTAACTGCTTTTTAAAGTGATTATATTTACCTGCTATGTTAATTTGTAAGCAATTGCTTTATTCTGATCCTATATGTATATATCACAAAATATCTGTTGTCAGATTACAAAGTAATTGATATATAAAGATACCTGCAATGCAAGAAATTATATAAGAGTTAGACCTAAACTTACAAACATGTTAGGCTTCTGCAAAGTCCTTTATTTAATTTGAAATATTTTATAACATGTTTTTTTTAATTGGTTCTGTGGTCTTCGGAATAAACCATTTGTCATGAAACAGCTTTACAAGTATGTTTTGTATTCGTGGACCAAAATAGATAGAAACATTAAAAGACAGGTATTAAACGTCGAAACAAAACACAGAATCATAAGTTCTTATTTCAAAAGACATGATCAAAATCTCTATTTCTTTATACATATTTCTTAATTCAATTTTTCATTTACAGAAAAACCAAAAGAAGAGTATAACAAGCCATGGAGAGGAGATATACCATGGGAAATTCACAATAGGGATTGGAATAAACGAAAATAATATTCACTGCGGAACATGCATTCACTGCGGACTAGAATGCATTAAAGGTGGACAAGGAATACAATGGTGGACATCTATTGTGGATGAGATTGTATTCATTCCCTGCAGGATAGCTATTGTTAATTTATACTTAATGGAGCTAAAATTGTGATACATGTGTATAGAAAGCATTTAAAAATAACTTGTTTACTGAATTGTAAAAATCATTCTATGTTGACTTTTGTTAATGTAGGCGCTGCGACGAAAGTTGGGTCGCAAACAAAAGTAATTTGTTTTGTAGCTTTGCTATACAGAATGATATACGTGCTTAAAATTTCACAGGAGACTCTGTGACATGTTGTAAATGAGAATCAAAGACTACGACTGGTCTGTGATCCTGGCAGTTGAAGGAGGATTGTTGGCTAAACGCATGTACTCGGTGACATACATATACATAATTAATAAAGCTTAGGCAGTCTACAGACCGGAGGTTGGTCCACAGCCCATACCCTTGTAGCCTCAGGATATCCGATTGTATCTCTTTGGAGCGGAGAGTGTTGGAATCTGAAGTATACAAACCAAAGAGTCCCACATGGAATAAATTAAAGTCATCAAAATGTGTATGTCATGAATGTTGATCTGATGTATGATGATATATGCATATATGCAGTGAAGGGTCTCAGTGTGATCCTGATGGACAGGTGATGTCTATGTAGAGGAGATACAGTGACATGTACATATAAACTGCTTGTTAGAAGATTGGTACTAGAGACAGCTATGAACATGGACACTATATGACCATTTTTGAAAGAACTTACGTAAATGTAGACACAAAATGTACTGTTACAAGATTGAGAATGCTCAGAAAGTTGACAACCACACAAGTCTACACGTAATGGAGATGACCACTGTAGCGAGCAAGTGGCATCACAATGGCTGCGAATGACAAGCGATGACCACTGTAGCAAGATTGTGGCATAAAAATGGCTGCAAGGGACAAGTGATGGCTACTGTAGCACAATTGTGGCATTATAATGGCTACCAAGGACTAGTGATGGCCGCTAGAGCCTTATTTTGTGAACGGACTGGAAATGGGTAAAACAGACTTTAAACAATTGACATGAAGATGTGGTAGCAACAGATAGGTGACTCAAATGTGGTCGTAATAGACAGGTGACCCTACATGTGATGTGGCGAAAAGGTGGTCATAATAGACAGATGGCCCTACATGTGGTTGTTATAGACAGTTTTATCCTATACAATATGAATACTGATCCGGTATGTGATGACCATTTTCTCCATGAACTTGTACCATATCTCAGCCATGTCAACATTCAACATATATTCGTTGTTGTGCATAATATTTGTCAGTATGTACTAGAAAAAAGTCAATCGTTATTATTATGTACCAACCATTTCTGTAAGAAGTGGATTTAACCGGTTTTAACAAGTGTAAGGAAGCTCATTAGAACCCATCAAAACTTTTCCCTACAAAGAACCATTTTTTTTTTTCAATTTTCTGTTTCTTTAAATGTCATGTTTCGGTTAATATCATGTGTTCATCTGACATGTGAGAAGTGATATTAAATACTATCTACTGTTTGCCGTTGAGATTGCCTCCTCCATTAAGCAGCTAGGAAGAATAAGTATGTCCTTCGAGGGCATTCCGTATTTGAGCAAGGTTTCAGTGACGTCCTGGTGTGTCCTTGCCAGGTCCTGTTGAATTATATTTACTGTACCAATATACTGCTGAACTTCTCCTGTAATTTATTAAGATCTCTTCAGGTTGTGTCAGGCTTCTACTGAGCTTCCTTTACTGTACAATACCTTGAATCTGTGCCAGTATGTGCTTCATTTTTATTTCATGTTTTTTTATCGTAAATAGCAGATACAGTATTTTTTGTTTCATATACATGATATGTTTCGTATGTTAACTATATACATTTGTAAATGTGAGCTAGTGTTCGTGTATGTCGTTGCTAACTGTCACATGGTAGACAAACTTGTAGAAATCTCCCTCACTATGATAGTGATTGAAACATAACACCTTAAATTAAGGCATTCCGGTGATCTGTCGTTGGCATCCTATCTCATCCTGGATTGACTGTACTTTGTTTTTTGTGCATGCAAGCATTGCCATTGTTTGTCACTAGCATCACAAGGTGGGCAGAAATCTTGCTACTAGCATCACAAGGTACGTGGACAGGAATCTTGTCACTAGCATCACAGGGTGGGCAAGAATCTTGTCGCTAGCATCATAAGTAGGGCAGGAATCAAATCCAGCTTATGATAGGCCGAGAATTAGGTTTCATCTTGAGGTGCATTGGATGTGTACCTTAGTTATCTCGTATATAAGCATTCTCATATATCTGTTCATAATATAATCACGTGTCACGACAAGATGAAGCAATGATGAAGCATATAACATCAAATGACATCACAAGCTAGCTGTGTTGACTGTGCGTTGGTCGTCCTCCATGTAGGCCATATGAGGGTTCATCATTGGCATTACGTGTCATTGCGAACTAGATTGATTGTAGTTTTGAAGTCCTACATCTCGGCATTATCAAGGTCCGTCATCTGCTTCAATTGTCATCTCGAGCTAACGAAGTTGACTGTTGATAGTCCTGCTTGTCTGCTTTCTCCTGATCTGTCACCAACATCACGTGTCATATCAAACTCTGTTCACTGTAAATTAGTAGTTTTGTTTTTAAGAATTATCATGGTCAGCCACTAGAATAAAATATTATAAAATAGAATGACTGTGTTCTTTGGTAGTCCTGTATTTGAGCAATCAACACTTACCTGGAATCATGTGTATGAGACATAAGCCTTTATGCAACATAACATCAAGACAAATATCAAACTAACCAGACTTTACTCTCAGTAGGGACAGGACTATTGCCACGACTGAATCATGTCCCATTATACATGTTTTATACATGGTATGTATTGAGTTATAGTACGCTGTGATATTCATACTTACTTAATCCCAGGTATAAACACAATAATTACCACAGCATCGTCGCACAGGGACACAATCCGGATTCAAAGCGGATCCTGAAAGACATGTAGACATGTATGAAGCATCTTTACAAGTTGGTTCATTGGTATAAACCGTTATGCGGGTGGAATGGTTCTGAGGACCGTAGGTCATGCAAAATGTGCTTCTGTAGTATAGGTTTCTCTATCTACTGTTGGAATACTAAGATGCGATCAATTTTGAATAAGTACCAAACCAAATATCTCCATTTCAGAACCTCGTACAGATATGTTTACTGAGCTAACGCGAATGTTACATGAGTAATTGTAAGATTCTTGCGAAAGGCATATTTGCTGTTTGTATTCTACGTGTAACTGTTACTGCTTGGTCATCCATATATTTCTTTTCATTTTTGCAAGTCCACATTTTGAAATTAAATGTTAATGAAAATGAAATATTAGAATGAATTCTTGATGTTGTGTTTGTGATGTTGGCGACGTGGTAACATTATCATTTGGTAATTATTAGACTTTCGATAAATCTTAGAAAACAACTAGGTAAAATATGACGGCTCTCGTAAATATAGTTTAAAAGACAAAGGTTATTAGCTGAAGATCTTGTAAATATTTTGCTGTATACTAGAATGAATTTTTGTGCATACAGAAGACAAAACAAGTGATTCATGCAATTTTTAATTTGAAGTATGATGTTTTAAATAAATAGAATTTAAGCAGAATTGTTGAACTGGCAGGTTTTCATTTTCCCTCGAAAACTACAAAAAATTTACCTGGTATACAGCTTCCAGCACAATAAACAGTTATACAGTAGATTGTATAACGAGAGTCTGATAAGAAATCCACCTAAAATTCTTTACAAATGTCATATACTTCAGTGAAATCTTGTGTATGGCTGATTTTATTAGTGATTTTAACGTGTGCTGATAATACCTTTGGGTGAAGGTCAATGCCACTTATGCATTGTCGGAATCAATTTACATGTTTAGTTCGGTCGCTGTTTCACGAATGTTCCTTAATTTAAGGAAATATTATTGCAAATATTGCTTTCTTGTAAAAATATATATTACGATGAAGTTCGTTAAAGTATATATTACCGTTCCCTTTGTTTATAAGGTACTTTAACGCGTCATAATAAATGGTGATATGTTACAAGATTATCAATTATAAGTGTTTTTTGTCAAAGAAAAATCTTGAATACTCGATCAGATACCTCGGAAAGATGATACATAAACGTCTGTGTTTCGACAGGTTTGCCGCGTTTATAAAGAATTATTTTGTATTTATGCTATTTACATGTGCTGTTTTGTCACTGCTTCTGTCAAACAGGGTGAGCGATTTATTATAGATACACAATGAATGAATCATCAAGGTTGCTTATTGATGTATTTTTGCCAGGTATCAATGAAATACTCAATAGGCTTCTGAAAATTGAAAATAAAACTTGTGACATTGTTTCGGATATATCCTGCCTCATAAGGATAAGCATTTTCTCCAACTATAAAAGAAAAAAATATCTGATCAATCTTAATTATGTCTTGGTTTGTCACTTGAAGTATTTCGGCCAAGGATTTTCATAACGTACAAAAGCAAACCTGTCCCACAGCTAAACTAACACCGAAATTATTAAGTATTTGCAAGACGCGGCACGTTTTCATCGAAATCCAGTCATTCTGGTTTCAGATAAATGAAAGAATTTGTAGTGGAGTATAACTTAAACATAAATCAAATCCAAAATTGCGGGTTATAAATGCATAAGTTAACATAACTGCCACCCAGCCTACTTTTCATTTTGACTTTGCCCTGGTTATTGAAGTCATACTATTGGTTGATGTGGTGTTAACTCATTCACCACTAAGACACATGTGAGCTCTTCCAATTCAAAGGTTGAAATAGTTCATTTTGACATTTCAGGGATGAATGGGTTAGAAGACACTGGTCATACCCTATATCATTGTTATATATATATGGTTATGTTGAGGTTTTGACTTTGTAGGAAAGGTAGTACGAATGGTCGACTTTGCAAGGTAAGAAATGGTAATAGGATTAGCGAATTTGTGAGAAATGTAGTTGCGGATAGCCAAGTAGGTGATATTTGTAAGAATTTTCGTAATGGATGTTTGACATACATATATGAATTTCATACATAATGATTTTTGTTTTAAACTTTGTAGTAGATCTAGTTATAGAAAAACGATTTCAGAAATTTCCCAATGTGCAATATTTAGCTGTAGACAATGATGCATGCTATTATGTTATTCCGCTTCATTACAAGTTAAGGTCATATAATATCAAATGCCAGGCATTTTTTTTAATGAAAGTCAGCTTGAAAATTGTACCTGATTCCACTGAAATCCAATGCAACCCGAAAGAAAATCTGATTAAGGAAAACAAAATTAACTTTATAACTTATGAAATGTCATTCTGCAAATTGAGGGATGTTATAGAATTTGTTATCGAAATACTTGTTATATTTAAAGGAGCCGTTGTGATGTTAGTCTTTCATAGATAGTAAATTTACTCATATCATTTTAAAACGTTGTTTTGATTTGTAAAGTTTAACCAAATGTATATAGTGCATTGTTCAAGTTTAGAAAGACATCTACAGTGTTTTATCTTGATGTCTGAAAAAGAAAACTAACCCTGGTTCGACTTTACATGGGATGATACCATGTTGGACGTTGTTGTTGCTTTTGATACATTGTCAGGTATTTTGTTTATTCATAAAAGTCTACATGTGTATTGAATGGTGATTTTGTTCTGACATATATCGTTTTTAAGTGAATGGTTAAAACAGAATTCATTCTTCAAGATGCAAAAAAAAAAAAAAAATCAACTATGTTTTCAAAACTTATTATTGTGTTGATTTTCATCTTTTGTTTTTATAGAATGTGTTATTGATATTAAAACGAAAAGCAGTTTAAAGAAAAATGGTCACAGTGAATATTGCATCAGTAATCAGGTAGGTTTGATTTTTCATTAATTAAGTATGACCACAAGGAAAATTTGGCCGAGTAACGAAACCAAATACAAGGACACCATGCATGGTGTAAGTACAACGTTAGTTTCGGAAAATAAATTGATGATATTGGAGTTTATATTGAATTTGAATGAGGAATCATATCGATTCATCTTCCTTCATATCTATGTAAAGATATTACATTTTGTTCTCTTGCAAACATATAGAGGATTAATCCCTGCATTGAATTTGCTACAGGTTACTGCCTTACCGAATATCCCTTCACCATATTCCTGTAGGTAATGCCAGAAGTAAGGGACCATTTCAATCTCATATAATAAAGTGAATGTTTACATTGCTTGACATCGTCAATATAAATTGATTAAACATTTTTGGCGGAAACAAGATCAACAGAGAAGCCCCACAACCGTAATTGATAAGGTTTTACGTCACCATAGCTATATGACGTCATCATAAATACAAATATTCATTCTCGCCCAGGTAAACGTTGTCTGAAATAGTAGGTTTTGTTATCTTCATTTGTCCGTATACTGAAGATTAAACACAAGCTTTAGTTTATCTGGTTTGCTATGTCAGGCTTGTACTGTACGAGAAGGATGACCCTGACTTATTTTATACTGTCATATACGATGTACAATGTATATTGATGTATGATCTTCGGTAGTGCTATTTGTAAATGGTTCATGTTTTGTTTTACACTTTAAGTAGTGATCTGTTCTGATTGTTTTCATCACAATGATATTCCGTGTATACTGTACAGAGGGAGCAGTCTGTTTGACCGTACCTCGCTAATCCAGTCACCTTATAATTATCTTTATAATGATGTCCATTTATGTCATGTTATTAAAACGTGTTCTCTACAAGTACCATTCTAACACAATTATTTATAAATCGTATTATGTATTTGTCTTCAAAAGAATAAATGAAAATATTTACTTTTTATATCGGGTGTGGATTTAATCATTACGTACATGGCTAAGAAATGGATTTGACCAGGAAACATATCGTTGAAAAACATTTACTTATTATCAATGTTGATATAGTGCACATCATTATATTACAGTGGCGGATCCAGAGGGGTTTTTTGGGCTTCAGGAAACCCCCACACCCTGAGAATTTCCTTAAAAATCATATATTTTTACCATTTTCCTCATTTTTTTCCAATATGGACCCCCCCGGAAATTTGGACCCCCTCCCCCCGATAGGTCTCTGGATCCGCCACTGTATTATACTGCAAAGAATATTGGAGAAAAGTTGAGGAAAAATCGTTTTCAAACCCGAATATACGACAGATGATGTTTTGTAACAAATTAACGTTTATTTTGCTTCACGAAATTGGTGTTTTAGATTTTAAAAAATGTACTACATTGGGTCCCGACTACATCAATCATAATTGCTTTAATTCAAACATTTAAATACTTTTGAATAAGCAATAAAATCGGACACAAGTATTGACAACATTGTAAACAACTCTCATCAACAATACTAGCGACAGTAGAGGTGTGTGCTACTCTTTTAACGAAATACAAATGCAAGATTTGCAAAACAATAACAGGACAGATTAATTTCAAAACCGGAATATGAGACGGACGTTGTTTAAAAAAACAACCTTTTCATTATAATTTCTTTTTAAAAAATCGTACTTAATTGGGCAACGACAAGATCAATCATATTCGCTTTAATTTAAACATTTAATTGTTTTAAAAAAAAACAATAACATCGGACAAAAGTTTTGACAACATTGTAAAGACATCTCAACAACAATCGTTACAATAGAGGTGTATGTTACCATTTTAACGAAATGTAAATACAATGTTAGCAAAACACAAACTACACTTTCTGAATCCTAATTTCGAAATGGGTGAAATGGAATATAGAAAGACCTAAGTAATAGTTCCAAATTGTTAGCAGTATACTGTCCGAACTTGTTTGTTCAAATAGTAAAATGAACCTTTGCATGCGTGTCTCCACAAGTATTTACAAACACTTTAACAAACTACAACTATGTCATGTTTTTAGCTATGCTTGTTTAATTAATAGGTAATTCGTTTTGGAGTGACGTTTTCTTGTAATCTCTAGACGGAGGATACCTTTCTGTTGTTTTCTGTTATCTTATTCCTCTACGTAATCTAGCTACAAGTAGTTGAATAGACGACAAAAAATCTGATACATATTATGTTGGGTAATGTAGTTTTTTAACCACATTATGCTATCGCGTTTTTAATGCACATGTGTAGTTTTCTATTCGTACATGTACATGTAAGCGTTTTATTGTACAAATTTATTTTACAAATTTTATCTCTCTTAGCTTCCTCCAACCCGTTTCAAATACATGATCCTGCCGTTAAAACGTGATGATTTATGTTTGTCTATAATATAACAGCATTTGATATAGCGCCCTATCTAGCTAACATAAGCCACTCTAAAGCGCTTTACGGTACATAGTTATGCAATGAATACAATTAGCATATACATTAATCAATACAATGTTGAGGAATTCGCAGGAGCTGCATTATCAGGCGCTAACTACTAGTCCTATGCCACCTTGCTAATATCTCCCCATGTGTGTATGCCTGTGTGTGTGTTGGAGCTGTAATGTGTTGTGTTTGTAGTGGGACCGTACTTCCAACGGCATCATTTATTGTGCCACCTCACTTGAATGCTACAACACAGATATCGCATCATCCACTCCAGACCAATTTATACTCCTCCTGGGTTTTGTTGGAGTTGTGTGGGCAGGAGAAAAACACTTTCTCTGAATATATCCATGTGTACGACGACTTCGAGGATCGAACCCCGGCCGCCTGCGTGGAAGGCCGAAGTGCTAACCACTCGACCAATCCGCCCATATGACATGTGGTGACAATATTATATAGCCAGGTTATAAGGTTTTATGATATTAACGATTTTATGGAGAGAAAAAAAAGACCTTTTAACGTCATCATGCCATTTTGGACAGTTTCAATTCTTTATATACTGAAGGTTATTGGTTTGAACCCAGCTTGTAGTGTCAAGAATTAAAACTAATTGTCTGATGACGTGAGTAGATAATACAGGGTTTCATTTCAATATATCTTATGGAGTCTATTATACATCGTTACCTATTAAACAAATTAAACAATACAGTACATGTACACAATAAACAACACGCTTAACGTTATTAATACTTTATCCGGTTTGTATAACAAATTATACAACTTTTTAATGATATTTATCAAACTCGTACAGTCAAGTTGCTTTCTGTAAGAATATGTTTCTCACTGTCATCTTGGACTTCTGCAACATGGAACATGGAAAGACAGTCGGTAAACAAACCTATCTGATCATATCCAAAGAAAATTGTATACAAAATTCTGAAATTGAATTGTATATATTTCGATGGAGTATCCGAGTTATGCTCTTGAGCTACAAATTCATTTTTTATATTTGCTGATCCTTTTGCATTCCCTGCGACTATTGAATGTGGAAGAGTTATTCGAAAGTCATGAAAAATGGCTGCTGGTGTTATAAAATATCAATTACATACTTCCAATCGAAGTACACGTGTACTCATTAGATTATTTCTTCTGATACTATGTTCATGTAGTACTTCATAACTGGACGCGTATATCTATCTGTTTGACAAGTCACAGGGGTTCACTTGTAATAAAAAGTCAGAAAAATACACATTGCCAGTGCTTTTAGAGTAGGTTATTCCGTCTTTGCGTATTGCAGAGTTATCTGCTCTTGGGAGCAGGTATTGATTGTTACGTCACTTGTATGTGAGAGTAACGTCATCAATTTTTGAGAAAACGACGTAATTTTCTCGCCCAAACCAATGACGTAACAATCAATACCTGCTCCCAAGAGAAGATAACTCTGCAATACGCAAAGACGGAATAATCTTAATGAACCCCACTACATATTCTTGCCTTGCAAGGTACATAATAAATAGCTACGAACCCTAACTGCATGTGAACCAAATAATATGATTTAAAAATCTTGAGCACTTAGGTTTAGCATTTGATAATCGAGGAACTGGGGCAGATCCAGAAGCCTGATCTAGATCAAACATACTTAATTAGGAATCTGTTATATGAAGTTAACAAAAATGTTTATACTTCAGATATGTCATTTTTACGTTATGATGCTTCGTGTATGGGACACTTGTAACATTTCTGAATCTGGTCTTCCTGAAATAGTTCAAATTGAAGCTCTGATAATCATACTGGCTTTAAAAGAGCTACATATCATTGATAAAATTCTCATACAGAAACAAAACGTGAAACAGGAAAATCTAAAAGACAAAGTTAAAATTATGAACTTATTATTGTAATTATTAACATGTACACACCAACACAAACACAATCGTTATAAAGCTCAACCAAGAACAAACATAGAACTAAACACTTCTGATGGATGAAGGGAACTCAGTTGAAAACAATACTTGAAATAATATCTCAAATGCGCGTTTGAAATAAAAAAAAAAAATGATATAATTATTGCGGTATCGTCAAACAAAACTTTTTTTTTTAAACCTGATAAAACGTCACGAAAACACGGCAAATCCCAATGTTACGCAACCTGTTTATTGAGTATGTTTTTTTTACCTTGCACGTGCAAATGTGTGTACAAGTGACCTCGACCTCCCAGTGTACTGATTAGCCGATCTACATGTACCCGATACATGGAGCCGCGGAAAATGGATACCAAAAGACACGCCGTTGACGAAACTTTCCAGGATTTTTTTGCGTTTTGGATGCGAAATCGCCTGATGACTGCCATGGTAGGTGAAATATAAGTTATTCTAGCTGCTTTCTGATTTTCCATGACCGCGACAATTTGAATAAATGTGCTTTTAGACGGTCAAAGCACAGGGGAACGGTTCAATTTATCAATTTATATCTGAGGTCTCCTTATATGTATGGTAAAGTAGGTGACCTCAGATATAAATTGATAAATTGAACTGTGCCCCTGTCGTCAAAGTATGGTGTGGTACCCGCTGGATAACGTAGCTTCTGACGACGAGTCGATTTTTTCCATTTTATATTTAAACCAACCGAGGCAGAGGGTATTAATATTAGTGCTAGTGGCGTACATATTCTGCTAGGAGGCTATGTTGTCATCCTTTTTATATAAAGAAGTACAGACGACATGCCATATCATAATCACAGGGACCTGATAATTCGTTACAGCTATATTTGGATAATTTTTTATAAACGACAAAACCGGTCAGACTACAGTTGTTCGTTTATTGAATAAGGTCGGACCTAGCAATCTGATGCTGATTTCAGGCAAGCCTTGACAAAGTCTTGCAAGGCCTACATAAACATTTGCATGTCCGCCAGGATTTATACCCGAAATTGTTACATTTATAAACGGTCAAACCGGTTGTTCCGCATACACAAACAGGCCCTAAGTAACTTTCGGTAAAATTGCCATCCCTAATGATGGTAAATACTAGCTGCGATAAAAGCTTTCGGACGACGGAATTTTTTATATGCAGAGGAGGCCGGGTATTAATATTAGTACTAGGTAAATACGAGAAGGGAGGACAGTTCTCGATGTCAAAAAGTCGACCCCCTAACTAAATATCGCGTGTACATGTGGTGTCGGATAAAAGAGAGATCATATCCACGGAAGGGAATAGATTTTGTGTGCATACCGGAGGTTTCTAAAAGAAAAATAATATCCACTTTTTCAACGGTACTAAGCTTTTTTTGTACACTAACTAGAAATGTTTTTTTTATGCAAAACAAATAGCTGGGGTCGATTTTTCGACAACAACAGCTTCTCTCCAGTCTTGTATATATTTTGTTATCATTCGTGTCGCTTCAAGTAAGATGTATTCAAAAATATCGCTATGGAATTTAAAACAACTCTCTATACATTATATAATTCAATGTGTATTCTAAGTTGGGTAAAAAAAAACCACCATGTGTACTTTTACTCGATGTATTTAT